TTCTTCAGGTACTTTTTTTTCGGTGCCCCCCCCCCCCCGGTACACTTTTTATTCTGATATTGCTGAGTGGCATAAGAATTTTAATTACGTTTCGTTCTTATGTTCAACGAAGAATACTGGTCTGAAAAAAAACTGATAGTTGATAGTTAACAAACTTGAATTATCGTTCTTAAGAGGCCTTTAATCCCGCCATCTTGGATTTTAGGTAAAATATTTATTGCGCTTTTTTTTTTTTTTGCCCTTAACAAACTTTTGATTATGTAATATTACATTACCATACTAGCAAATTATTATTATATCATATTACATTTCAAAAAAGTAAGAAAATAAAGGGATCACTTTATTAAATTAGGAGATATAGCTCTTGATAATTTTTGGAACTTCTACGAATTTTTTCTCCAAACTTTAAAGCAATAAAATGATACGATTTGTGGTTTTGATTAAGTAATTTAAAACAACACGTTTCTCAGATTTTAGATTCCTTAAAATCTTATCTTATTGCAGTTTTAATTGTTAAAAAGCGATTTGGATAACGCAAAAAATAATTTTTTTAACGTTAATTGCATAAAAATTAAGATACTTATCTAAAATATAGAAACAAACAGTTCTGATTCGATAGCGGTCATGTATTTTACATGTATTGAAAGATAATGCCACAAGAGTAAATATACATCATCAGTTTATTTGTGAAAATTAAATAAAAAATATTAAAAGCATATTTAGAATTTTTCCTCTGTCTCTATAGCTGAGTTCAGTCTTCTGAGGAAATGAACAAAAACGAAATGTTAGGGCGTATCTTGCTTGAATGGTTCTCGCGCAAAATCTAAAAAGAGTAAAGTTTTATTTTTATGTTTTTGCGACATACCTGATGAGAAATTAAACATGATTTTTTGTCTTAGCTTAGGCAAATAAAATTGTGATAAAATTCCACATTCGTTTCTCAGTCGACAGTAAATGTGTACCTACTAAATTTTAGATACCGATGCCTAATTGTTTTCTAATAAAATTACCAAAAATTATAATTTTTAAAATTCAACACAAATGCTAATTAAATTTAAAATCATTCATTAAAGATCTAAAACTATTACAGTTTGGAATTAATAAATGACAAGATTTCGATTACTTTTTATTTCGAATAAAATTCCAATTGTATAGTTTGAAAAAAAATAATTTCTTTCCAGAAACTTGATTATAATATGTAAACGATTTCAAAATATGATTTGTTTTCAAAATCTGCAAAACTAATGACGAATTAAAGGAAAACTGGTGATTAAGCCTTAATTGCTACTTTTATTTATGCTATACAAACGGTATAGAAAGAAGAAAAATCAAGAAAAATAAATGAAAAAGAAAGTAATGAATTGAAAAAATTATCAAAACTGCCTTTTCAGTCCCATGTGGTCTAGTGGTTAGGATTCGTGGCTTTCACCCACGCGGCCCGGGTTCGATTCCCGGCATGGGAAGCATAACACTTTTGCAATCTAAAATTTTTTACAGAAACCTTCATTTTTTTTTTTCGAAATAGAAAATCAACATTAGCAACAACAAAAAAAAAAAAACATAAAAAATAATAATAATTTAAATTAAGATTTTTATATATTTGATATTTGCAAATAAGCTAATCCTATGACCAAAAAAAAATTTGTTTTTAAAAATAAACTTTGTTCGATTAATTTCCTTTTTTTTTTAATTCTACTTTAACCTTGACAATAGAACGGAAATAGTCGTCATGCCACATTTCTCGAAACCTTCCGTGAAGAACTTAACGCTGTTTTTTCAATTGCACTGCAGACTATATTTTTCAAATATGAAAATAAAATATGGAATTCTTATTCATTTAAAAAAGTTAAAATTGTAAATGATTAAAGTATGTTTACATTCTGTTATTCGTAAATAATATTTTCTCAGAAAAACTTGTATTTTTAATATTGAAATTCTTAAAAAAAGAAAGGAGTTTGGAACGTTAATTTCACTATTGTTTAGTACAGTGTAGAATGATTAGAAAACCATTAAAAATTTCATGAATAATTTGAAAAATAGTGTAACTGTAAATAACGAAGTTAAATTATACAAAAATAAAGAAATAACTAATATTTTTCTGTATAATTTAAAAATTAGCATTCTGAGCTTAAAATTTTTTATTAGAATACAAGATTAGTTTTCTTAGTTTGTATTTTAAAGTGCAACTTAACATACAACTTAATGTTGTCACACTCAGATTCTTCGTCAGTGCAGTTGCATGTCAAGTTTTCATTAAAATAAAATAGAATGTTATAATTCGGTGTTCCGAAGGAGCACCAAACCGAAAAAGCCGGAAAAATCGAAGGAGCACAGTTTTTTCTGCTGTTACTTTTATAAACAATTTTATTTCATTTTGTCACTATCGTTAAATCAATCCAATTAACAACAGTCGATCCAATTTCGAGTTTACGACAACCAATGTTCAATATCGTATCCTTGCAATTTTGAACCCAATACAGAAGACGAGGGAACTCCTGGATCAAGTATAGGGAGAAATTTGCTTTCGTGGAGGACTTTTTGATGGAGCTAACGCGCATTTGCGTTACTCGGAAAGTAAAACCAAGAAAACCTCACATGTTTACCCTGACGGCAAGAGGACTCTAACCCATGATCCGTCTGCCATTGAGGATATTTAACTTCAGCACTGTGTACGGTGCTACCCAGGGGCAGAAATCGTACCACCGCTGGGATTCGAGCCTAGGGCACCTCATTGGAAGGCGAACGCTCGATTCCCTGAGACATAGTGGAAAATAATTAGGACGTGGCTTCAGAAATGAAAACCTCACACAGTTAGTCTGAAAGTAAGGAGATCCCATGATCAGTCGACCACTGAGGATATTTTATGTCAGCACTGCAGTTGGTACGAGCCGGGTGCAGAATTCGTATCGAACTGCCGTCGCTGTGATTCGAAACCTGATCGCTTCTTTGTGGTACGAGTGCTCTATCCCCTGAGCCACCACGGCTCTTTACTAACTATCTGTGAAATTAAATTTTACCTCTATAAATATGCTTGTAATTTGTCACGCTTTTTAATATTGCATAGGTTGCGCGAGAAGTGCGAATTGCCGATTTCATTTTTTAATCATAAAAGTGCAATTTTCGATGGTTTATTATTGCCACTAAATTATTAAAATGAACTTAATTTTAATTATACTTAGAGTAGTTTTATTTTCAAAAGATATTCTATTTTGAGTAACCGTATTTGTTGGTCCATGTAATGTATGGAGAAGAAAAAGGGACAGGTGGAGAAATGGCAGGTGTGCGACGTCAGGTCAATTTCATTCAGGCAGCTGGCTTTTTAAAAAAAAAAATTTCTCCCTAAAATGGATCCTTTAAGAAGTTTTCGATTTAAATATTTGATTCTTCATCCATAAGACCCCTCAGATTATGTATATAAAATCTTTCGATTATATTCCTTAAAAGATTACATATATAAAAAAAAAAGTTTTCTAATCCCAATGTTTTTTAAGTACGTAGTTCTATCGAACATGACAGATTAATTTTAACGACGAAGTTAATTTAACATTTAACGTTTATTTAGTGTTTTTTTATACATATATTCATGACAGGTTATAATAATATTATAAATAATATCTATCCGATAAAGAAGTAGGTTTTTCACTGAAAAAAATTTTTTTTAATGATATCGAACAATACAATAATTTGCTTTTATTTTTGCGGTATTTAAAAATGAATCAGGAAAGAAGTGTTTTCAGATATATAGTTTATTATTATAGCGCTTTTTATTTTGAGTGACTTTTAAATTAACGAAAAATAACATTTGTTGTTTAAAAACGTGCTTTATGTAATTAATGAAAAAGCAAAAAAAATGTTATGAAAATATGATAGCCTATAAAACAGATCTATATCATGCCTGAAAATGTATTATTTTATTGTTTTGAAAAATACCGAGGGCCAATTTTTTCCCTTACACTTTGGGAGATATTATTGGGAAACAAATTGTATTTTACTTTATGTTTAAGGCCTTTTTATTGTAGTAAAAATATTTTTTATAACATAATTTTTTTTAACGATGCTATGGGAAACATCTCTGAGGTTATTTTGTTTCGAATGGCTGTTTAAATGCACTACACTATGTATTATTATTATTGATAAGGTTTTCTTTGCAAGATGCAGGAAAAAATAATAATGCAAGAGTTATTCATTGCTTTACTTGGGTTAGTTCTCAAACTGGTAATGTTAAAAAATGATGCCATTAGTGCTGCCATCTATATAATGAAACAAAAGGTATTAAAATTATTATTTTGTACAATTAGAGTCTTACACAATTTTGAATAACAACAAAAATAAAATGCTTTTTATCATAAATATATTATGTACTTTATTTACGCTGTACTATACCTGCACAATCTGCAGCTTCAATGAAAAGATTCTAGATGTCTAATATTTCTATTGTTCAAAATTATTTAATTTGAAAATTGCATTTTATTATAACCCCGAAAATCTAGAGTAACTGAACTATAAAATTTTTTTATTAATATAAAAAAAATTTCGAACTTCATTTGCAATGATTACTTTATGCTTTCCTTGAGAAATGTTTTTAAAATGAACTGGTTAATTGGAATCTTACTCATTGGTTAGAACTTGGCAAACAAAATACAATTCTGGTGGTAAAGGATTAGAATATAGTCGCTTCAGTGCTGCTATCTATATAATCGAATAAGGGGCAGTAAAATTATTTATTTATTTGTTTAAAAGTAAATTAAAATTTTAAGGTGGTAAATCATGGAAAAAATGATTTTTAAAGATAAGATCGCGCGCCAAATATTTTTTCTAATAAACACTCTCACTGATCCTCATATAATAGAATAGTTACATATTTTTCTGATAGAGGTCGCTTATACACATTATTTCCTTCCTTTTAAAAATTATAATTATTCAGGCACATTAATGTTAATAAAATTTATCGATTTACCATATTTTTTAGTTTCACAAATAAGTTTTTAAAAAATAAACTTATTAAATATTGAAAAAGGAAACTTTTTAACTTCTTCCTGTGGCTACAGTGCACGTTCGAAATATGCGACTTTATATACCGAACAGACTTAATAAATTTTTTGAGCTTCAACAAAGTTGCTTATCGAAATAATTATGAACGGAACGAATTTCTAAAGCGTTTAGAATCGCGGTCGTATTCAACTTTTGAAACTATAAATAATAGTAGTTAAATGACGTGTCCTGGAACTTTTTCGTTTTTCTGTTGACACTAGAATATTCACCGGCTTTGGTGATTAAAATAGTACTGATAAAGTTTAAACGCAACATTTTTCAAAGTAAAATAATTTTTTAAATTTATGTTTTTTTGAAACCTTTCTCTTTTGATCCATTTTTAAAATTCCTAATCTCAACTAGTTATTATTATAAATTATGGTTGTTTAGTTTTGTTAGTTTGTAAAGTTTGACGTATTTGCTTTTATGCTGCATTCTTATTTATTGGTGCACATTTTTTGAAAGTTTATAATAATTTAACGTTAAAGTGTACAACTTACAAATTGATTGCAACTTGTTTATGAAATAAATTGTTTGCTAGTTAATATTTAATTAATATTAACTAGTTATTATTTTAAATTATGTTCGATCTTAACACTTTTGTATATTATTCTAAATAGTTTTGTTTATGTTATGATTGTTTGTATGGATTTTTTATTACATATATTGTATTTGCTTTTATTTAAAACTTTGATTTATTGGTGCAAATAAAAGTCCAATAATTTAAGGTTAGAGGGAAATGAATACAATTCACAAATTCATACTAACTTATTTAAAAGGAGAAATTTCTATCTTCAGCAAAATATTTATCTTTAAATGTTATATTAAAGAACTTTAATTTTTTCCTAAGAGCACTATCTAATCAAATGACAATTTAAATCTTGTCATTTAATGTTGGTTGTCATTTTGAAATTCATTAAAATAACAAAGTTTTGTTGAACTTGCTATATTTTTAATGCAACAAAATCCCAAGTGTAACTATGGGAGGTTTTAGAATCATTAAGTTTAACATTGAAAAGGGGATATTTCCGTATAGTGATCTGTCTCATCAACTATAGTTGCCAAAGTACCAAATAGATTTTAAACTTGAAATTTTTTTTAAAAAATATGTATGTTTGCTCGGGGTGGCTACAAAGCCCCTTTCTGTGATTTTTTTAGTTTTTCGTGGGCCGCTGCCTGGAAGTTGCCAAGATTTGGCGATTATTCTGCCACAGATCACGATTTCGAAATCTCTCTGTTAAACACTATATTAGAAACATTAAAACTTGCATTATTTTTTTCTTCTACGTTAATAAAAAATAATGTCTAAGTCAATTTTAAACGTTTTAGTGCAGTTAGTGTCTTTAATTTTTATAATTTTGAGGGACCCTGAAGAAAGACTTATCTGTCAGTACCTGTGCCAAAATATATGTCAATCTCAGCAATTTCTGGACCGTGGCACTCAATAAACCAAAAAACTAAGCAACACAGAAAGAAATTTATAACTATTACTTGGGAAGTTACTATATATATTTTTAAAATCTAAACAACCAACAGTTACTGATTTCGAAGAGTCATTCACTTTTTTTTAAAATTTTGACTTTATAAAAACAAAACCACAAAAAATGAAAAAGAACTAGATAAAGTTACTTATTTAATGTTGAAATTGTAAAAGTCTTTTGAGTTTGAAAAATTATTAAATATAAAAAAAGTACTGAATATAAAAGTAATTTACTGAAAATTTAGCGTTAAAAATTAGTACAGTGGTTCATAAAACTTTAACCGGCTTAAAACTCAATTCACAGTGAAAGTGAACTTGCCAATTAAACTTAAATATTTAAAGATATTATGTGCTCGGCTGCTAAATAGTGGCAAAATCTATAGTTGTTTTATATTTACACTTAAATTGAAAAATATCTATTTTGTGTATATTAAAATTAGAACATTTGTAATTAACTTTATCTATTAAAATTTTTTTTTCGTATTTTTATGAACATAAAATTTTACAGAATGATTACCGACATCCAACTTGCCATTTTTGCCAATGTGCTTGGAGTTACTCTCTTTCTTCTGGTAGTCATCTACCATTATGTGTCTGTGAGCAATCCTAAAAAAACAGATTGAAAGAACATTGGATGATGGTGAGTGCTTTTTTAAAAATGTTTAAAATGTTAATATTTTTCTAAATTTTTCAAATAATTTGTTTGTAATTTGTTAATAATTTGTTAATAATCAAATAATTTGTTAATAATTTGTTCACTGGCTTGGAACCAAGCAAACATTTGACTTTGTTCTTAACCAATAAGCTTTAAAAAAGATGATGATGAACGACACATATTAGAATTTGCCTATTATGTTTAATATAAAATTGTGTTATATTTCTGCGTTTCAATTTTATCTAAATTGTTTTCTGTTGTCTAAAATGTTTTTTTTTTATTTTTAAATTTTGTACTCTTTTATTGGCTTGAAACCCAGCAAACATTTATATCTGTTCTTCCACCAAACTTGTCTTCAAGATGTTAAAAATGTAAAGATAAAGGACATTTTTAGCAACTGTCTATTACGCTTAATATAAAATTATGTTATTTTCCCCATTTCAATTTGTCTAAATTGTTTTCTTTTGTCTAAAAGTTTTTTTTTTAATTTTTTTTTTAAAAATTTGGTACTTTTTCATTGACTTGGAACCGACAAACGTTTGTCTATCTGTTCTAGCACTAAAATAGTCACCAAGCTGTTAAAAACATGAAGATGAGAGACAAATTTTAACGATTGCCTATTATTTTTAATATTACATTATGTTACATTTCCATATTATATATCTATCTCTAGCTTCATAGTCACTTATTTTATTTGAAGCCTTTGTCTCTTTGATATGCTTTTTCATACCCTGGGAATGACACCCTGGGAATCTTTGGTATTTATCTAATTTGAATGGAGCCAAAATTGATAAGACATTTAATATCATCTTCATTTAAGTCTGGTACCATTAGTGGAGGATATACCATTCTAGAATTCCAATTAATGATTTCAAAGTAATCTGAAGCTTGAAAGTTTATCTTTGGTAGTACAAAATTTGATCTTTGCTAAATTTTTGTTAACCAACAATATCTGTTGTCAATTTTTAATTACTTTTGTGCCATTCCAGAGAGCTAACTGTTGTCAATTAAGTTCTTAGGCTGTATATAAGAAGGATTTTAAAAGCAAAACCCGCCGAATTTTTTTTATAGAAATTTCGTACTACATATTATTTTTCAACCATCAGAAGACTTCGAAATCATTACCTAATTGGAATTCTTGTGTGGTCCCTTAATGCTGTACGACTTGGTGTGAAGATATTAAACCATGTATTAGTTCTAACTCTAGCATTAGAGAAATAACTAAATCTCCCTACCACTCCCAGGCTGTCAAAAGGAGCGTCAAACTTCTAGCAAAATAACTTGCGCCCTTATTGGACCAACATTCACGAACCTTGGCTCAATAAAGATTCAAAGGCCCATTAATTTCCGATATTGGTCCTATATAGAGTTGACCGATTCACCCGATATTTTACAACCAGTATCGGCTCTATATAGAGTTGTCAGATTTACCCGATGTTTTATATTCATTTTTCAGCTAATGTAAGCTTGGCCGTATGTAGGTTGATATTTGCCCTATATAGGACCAGTATCAAAAAATCTACACATTCCAATATTGGTCCCTCAGTGGATGTTCATATAGAACCCATATTGAGCCAATTTTGAACTCAACTGGCCCCAAGGTAAAATTGTTGCTAGAGAAGATTCGAATAAAATTTGTGAGCATGAAGTTAGAGATGGATACATCCATGCTACTTTAACCCTTTCGCGACTAGTTTTTTTTTTTTTTACAACAGAACAATTTTGGTAGCATAAACAATGAGTAGGGCAGCATCTACGGTAGTGCCATCTGTGAATGAAAATACCTTCAAGAATATTGACAGAACTGGTGGGAAAGTCTCCCATTAGACAGAAAAGCATTTCTGTCCCAAAAGATTATTTTGAAATTTGCTTGGGACGTATGTGTCCCATTAGGTGCGAAAGGGTTAAAGTCTAGATCAGTTATGCTTCAATTCTAAAAAAAAAAAATTCTACTTTAGATGTGTAGTTGATGTAAAAGAGAAAATTTAACAATGCAGTTAACTAAGCAACGCAACTCCATTGAAATAAATCCTTCCATATTAAAATAAATATAATGTAAATATCCCTTCAAAAAATTGAGTGGTTAGTTGGGTTGAGTGTAGGTAAAACTGAATGTGCACTCATCTTCATCTGGTAAGTTCTAGGTTTTTCTAAACTAAAATAATGAACAAAGTGAAAAATAAGAAAAATCGATCAACTGCTGTGTTGATAGAGATCTGAAAAAAAGAAGAAAGATAAAGAAATGATCTTGTGCTTTGCTAATAGTTTGTTGTTGTGCACAAAATTTAGAAAATGGTGCTGTGATTACTCATTTAGTACTGCTTTAGATTAATTCTACTTATAATATATTTATTGTACTTATATCATACTGTAAATATCCGGAAACGTATGTTTTTCTGGAAAGTGTAGCTAAATTTGATAAGTTACATTTGTTTAATTGAAAATGTTGTATTAAAATTTTAATACTGCCTTCAAGTTTCAGAGCCTTCACTGTTTGTTCCTCTATGACTTCTTTTGTGTATTTTTCTTTTTCTTTTGGCAATTAATTTCAAATTGTTATTTTGTTCTACACTTGTTATTGTTTATCTGATATGTATAGCTATCAAGCAATGATCATCTTATCTTGTGTGTGTTCCTCACTGGATTAAAAAACTTATAATATTTCATAGTCACATAGATTTTTTTTTTCTGTAATGTTTTTAAATTGTTATGTTTTAATGTGTTTATTTTTTGACTGAGGTAATGCTATTATTTAAGTCTTTGTACTAGTTTTGTTATCCTGGAAATATAACTCTCTGCACCCTATGCGTCTGATAGTTTACAATGTAAGGTAGGAACATTGCTATCATATTCTTATGCTGATGAGGATTACATTTCAGATAAGATTTGTTTATTTTTAAAGAAAAATTGCACGGAAAACTATTGAAACTTTTAGTATAAGGATAGAATTTCAGGCTTATAAAAATGAAGATAGCATATGAATAAAGCCAAACATCACAAATAAAGCACAAATAATGTGTTAACAATGGATTATATGTGCCTTATTTACTTTGTTTTGTTTCTTTAATGCATAGCACAATCTATACAGAAAGACACTATATATTCTGCTTACTTGTATGTTATTTGACTTTTTTTGACAAAGACAAAAATTGAATTGACCCATCTCACCCAAAAAAATATTCCAAAAAGCCTAGAATCATTAATAAAAATATAAAGAATTTTGGAAAAACTTGAAATACGCAACGTTTTTGCATGAAAGTACTAAGAGCTACACAAAAGAAATAAACCATTTAACTGTTGAGTAATATCCAAAAGAAACCCAGGGTTAATAATTAAAGCTAAATTAATGTTTTTTAAAAAGTATAGACAGTTAAATAGTTTAGTATTAGGGAATAATACAATAGTTAGCCGGTGAGTTTTCAAAACTGGATACATCTTGAATCCTTCTTTGGGTTTACTAGCAGCAATTTTCAGTTTTCAATTTAAATTCATCAACAAAACGATGATGAATTTAGATTGAAATTCATTTTTGTATTGCACGTTTACTTTTCCTTACTTATTTAAACACTAAGAAGCATAATCAATATGAGGCAAAGTCCCGGGCTTCTGGCTCGAAGGAGCAAGGTATATTACAGGTGTAGCTTTTCAGGTTATGTTTTCATATTTAAAACACTGAAAGATGAATTGAATTTAAAATAAATACCTATGTAAATTTATTATCACTATATTTTAAATTCATAACACCCTTGGCAACCATGTAAAAAAAAAACTGCTGACTTTTAAAGAAAGTCTTTTTTAAAAGAAGACTAATTTAATAAAATGTACCAAGTGAGTTATACAAATGGACGCTACAGTATTAAGAACTTATTTGGGTACATTTTTTATTCCTAACAATGCTCTTAAAAGGAGTTGAAAAATTGAATTAAATGCTTATTCCATTTTCTTATATAGCTATGTTCATTTTCGTAAACACACATTTCAAGTTGAGTTTGTTTTCGTAAGCACACATTTTGAGCTGTGTCCAGATTTAAAAATCCTCAGACCAGCAGTATTATGAGTTAAAAGAAAACTTTATGCTTATTTATATTTAAAGAAAATGAATTTATTCAGTATTTTATCTTATAGGTTTCTGGCCAGAAGCTTAAAGCTTTCCCGAAACTAAATGATGTGGGAAAGGAACAAGTTGTCAATTTTTTCAAACATCTTAATCAATGAAGTTTGTGTTTTGTAAATAAAATATATTTTTCAGTTTTATGACTCTTTATATGTAGTTGTATGACCACGTTTTGTATTTAGGCTTATATCATTCAATTTATGTTATGAGTTGTATTTTTTAACCAAAATATTAGATGGGTGCGTGGCATTCTTAAAAAGTGCTTTTTTTTATTTAAGTTTTTTAAAAGCCCTTAAAGGTGCACTTTTCTTCGGGTTTTGTAAAAAGTGTTTAATTTTTTCCTCGCTGCGTCGATTATCGTCATACATTACAAAAAAAATAAAACAAAACATGATCTTTATAGTTTTCTCCGCAATATTTATAAGAAACTAGTTATTTTTTCATGATAATGTAATGGATATGTCTTTGCATTTTGTTGATTTTATATACATAATTGAACTTTAAGCAATCTGAAATTTTTTTTATTACTGCATATGTCCCAATTATGATTTTTTTAAAAAAGTGATTAAAAAATTTTTTGAGCACTTAAAAGATGCTTATTTTTTGTTGAAAAATCTATCTACGCATACTGTATTATGCAATTAAATATCCGCAAATTATTTATTCATTTTCCATAAAAGTAAAATATGCAATTAAACATTAGCAAATTGCCTATTTTCAGTAATTAACATTTTGCAATTCTCTTATTTGTATCTTAATTTTTAAAAGGTTTTATTATTTCAAAAATATTGTGGAATAAATAAATATTTTGTACATAAAATTTTTTGTCAACTTTTATTTGATGAAAATTATTAGGTGTTGTCACATCAAGTAAACTATTTGATTCTATTGAGCAGCTCTTTGTGCAAAATCAAAGGATTTAAAAAAAAATTTTGAAATAGAATCTGCTGTTATACTAATCCATTTATAAGTAAATCATATGGTTTATGTCATTAATTCACGTTTTAAAAATGCTTAAAATTCTGGAGCATGTTGTGTATTCCTGTTTAAACTGTCCCCCCCCCACAACCACCACAGTTTTTAGCAATACATATATATATGTTTATTAGTGTTTGTGAAAATATTGCTCTATTTTCATTTGCTGATATTTCCAAAATTCACAGATATGTTTCTCTTAAATCGTTTTAGCTAACCCCTCCGATAGTCCATTTAGCCTTAAAAGTGTCTATCAAATCTTTGAGCTGATAATTGAGCATTGACTCATTAATGATTACAGAATACAGAAAATTGTTTTGAGATAATTGCTAAAATGCATTATGAGCTTGTAAAAATGATTTTTTCTCCTACATAAAATTTTTTCAAGTGCTCTTTTACTTTTTTATTTTAATACTAAAAGCATGTATCAAGCATTCAGTTGATTAAGTACTCTTTTTTGCTTTCTTATCATTCTCAAAAGAAGTTTTTTTAAACCAGGAGAAAAGCTTTAATTTTGTTTTATTCTTTACTAATTGATTTGTGTTTAGCTAATATTTCAGTAAATACTATTGAGAAAAATACTTTTTTCTTTGAATCATCCACAAGATTAAATTTTTATAACATTTTAGTATTTTTTGTCATCGAAAAGTGTCAATATTGGTTACTTTTGACTGTTAGGAAAAGTTTATCCTTTTTAAAGCTAGCACTATCTATGCTTATTATGAAAATGGTGCAAAACGCCAGTATGGAGAGAAAAGCCACAGTTTTGTAGAAATGAAAAGCGTTTGGGGTCTAATTTTTTGATATTTAAAAACTATTTCCAATGTTGTATTCTGGGTTCATGAAAACTTGAACTGAGAAAAATGCAGTGATTTTGATAATTTTCTTCAAGGTGGAAAAATGTCGCCAAACTAGCAATTTTTAAAAAAGTTTAATAACTTGTAAAATATTTAATGTATTTGTCTATTCTGAAGCCTAGATAATTCTTCACGGAAAGATAATATATATATTATTTAAAATCATTGCATTGCTTCAAGTGTACGGCTCTTAAACTATGGCTCTTTTATTTTCCTTGACGACAGAGCTTCGAAAGACTGAAGAAAAAGAGAGTTGAGGCAAACCTGGAGTAAGCCACGAAGTTTAAACTGCTGGGGGGGGGGATGAAAATATCAAAAAGCTGAAAGCAGACAAATTATTGTAATAGAATTTCCTCATTGCATAATCCTAAGTTATCCTTTCATCAGTTGATTTTGAATATTTCTTCTTACTTAAAGGCTTACCCTAGGTTTGTTTGAACTCACTTTGTTTTACTTTACCTAAAACTCTCAGGGGGTTTACTTCTGTGGTGTGCCTCGGCAACCATCCAGTCCACTCCAAAACGAACTGAATGGAGGAAAACCCAGCCGGCTAAACCGGTTAAAAACCCCCTCGTTCTCCCTTCCAAACTGACTCGCATGGAGGGAGGACGCTTTTCTCAAACCTGGATTGGCTTACAAACTAAGGTAAGCAACGTTTAAGTCACCTAATCATAATTTTGATTTTGTTCCTTGCTTCCCATTCGTCGTCATCTTTTCACCCTTCCCTCCTATTGGCTGTTGCTCTAACCCCGCTTGTGACGTCACCTTTCTCAATATTTACCCTGTTTTCGGTCATCGTTTTAACCGAGGTATACTAAATGTAAATATATGTAAATTTAATGTAATTATACTATTTTTTAATATCTAATTCACTAATTATTATATTGTATATATATTATTAATCTATCAGATCTGTACATAACTTTGTGCATTATAACTCTCATCATCTTTAATTCTACCTTGACTCAGGGGACTTCCCCCGTACTCCATTCTCTCCTCACTAAAGCCAAAAGTCTTAGTCGCCCAAGGGCACACATAATGCGATGAAAAAGTCAGATGCCCGCTTTGCGGGCAGGCACTTTGAACAACTATATATCTAGTCTAGTCTAGTCTTTCTGTTGCACTGATGAAGGTTTCCCTTTGAGCATCCGAAACAGCTGTCTGCATTTATAAATATTTTTTATGCTCTTAAACGTTGTTTACCTTAGTTTGTATTTTAGCACAAAGGTCGCCCACTTGTGTATCTGGATTGTCTTAATTCTTTACAATGTAGGCTTTTATTATATGTTTTTGTTATTCGTTAAATTTTCCCTAAACGTAAGCTTTTATTCTTCATTTTCTGTAATTAACTAGATTAATAAATTTTTTAATAATGCAATTTAAAATATAGCATGTGACTCTTTGTTTAAAGCACACACGTGCTATACCTTTATGTAAACACAGGGAGTCACGCTCCGGGTACCCTAGTGATCAGTCCTCCCTTCAATTTCTTCTCCCTTTTCTCTTATTTTCTCGATTCTCTTCCCCCTTGTGGTCGTTGTCGAATTTACTGGTAAGGGCTTTTAGTCTGTGTTCGATTACCACCCTGTTGTATTGGACCTAGATGGGAAGAGACCACCCACGTGTTCGCCGTGCGTGACGACCCGTGTCCCTGGAAAAGGGGATCCTAGCAGTTGAGGTGCATCCTGATATCCTAATACACTGCCATGACCGGTGCTTCAGGTAAACGGGAGGTGCATATTGGCCTATATGCATCAATTGGCCAGTAGCGAACGTCATCTGTTGGATAGGGTCAAGTCCGGGGTCACTTACTGGGCACCTCGTTAACGGTGGAGGCTACTTCAGGGGTGACTCGCGAACGTATAGCTGTTGGTGAGCATCGGTGTTAAGTGACGAATTATTGTTATTTAAATCCCCTTAGTAGGACTCCGTGGTGGGTGGCGCCGCAGGTAGCAAAAATGGTTAAAATTTTCTATGACTGAAAATGGAATGGCGTTTAGTTTCGCACACGAAAGTAAAAAAAAGCAGAACATCTCTCGCACCATGTGACTATGCTCAATACTTCCTGATAAGTTTGGCTAATCCTACTATTCCGAATACTTCGTTTACTATAAAGTGTCCCCTTTTTTAATCAACAAAGCTCTCATTTCGGGTTTAGGAGAAGTAGGCCCCGTTAGAAAATTACGTTCTGGTGATCTCTTGGTTCAAATTACATCCAAACATTAGGCTACTATTTTGTCCTCATGCGCGACTGTACGTTCATTTTCTGTAACTGTAACCCCCCCCCCATAAATCACTAAACACCTCCCGTGGTGTTATATCTGTGTCTGAGTTTATCGATGATACAGAGGAATCAATAGTGGAAGAATTAAAAGACCAACGCGTTACTGCTGCCAGAAGGATCAAGATTCGGAGGGATGGTAAACTCATCCCTATATCATCTGATTCTTACATTTGACACTTCAAAATTACCAACATCTGTAAAGCTTGTCTGGCATAACTGCCCTTTTCGACCTTACGTGCCAAACCCATTGAGGTGCTTTCAATACCAAAGGTTTAGTCACTCCAACGCATCTTGTCGAAGCACACCAATTTGTGATCACCATTGACCATAGTGATACTTCCTGTGAGTTGCCAGCCCTTTGCAATAATTGTAAGGGAGCTCATGCTGCATACTCCAGGAGTTGTCCGAAATGGTGCCAAGACAAGGAGATGCAAAGTTTTGCAAAACTTGACTTTCAGTGAAGCCCATCGAATAATCAATCACCCCTCGTATTTCTCATCCGGGTGTGTCCTATTCTGCTGCTACTAAAACGTCTTATGGTACTCAAACCGATTTTCCACTTTTCCCCTTTGTAGGTCATCATCAGATTCAGACTAGCAGTCTAAAACCTAGTTTTAACTTCAATGCTCCATCTACATCAAACAGAACTACTTTGGCTCCTCCCACCAAAGCACCTAAAACCGATCAATCTGAAAAGGCAAGGTTTTGAAGACGGTGGATATTGGCTAGGAGTTGACTTTGCATCCTTCCGATAAAGCAGTACCGTCTTTACGCATGGGCACACCCGGGCAGTGCCCAGGGGCCCCAGGCACTCAGGAGGCCCTTGAGAATCTTACTTTTTATAAATTGTATTAAAAAAAAACTAAGAATAAACAACTTTGCATTATATAATTTTTAAAATAAATCCCAAATAGCGAAATATGGTTTATTTTCACTCAGCAAAAACCTTTTAATGTAAACCTAAAAAGGTTGGTTATGCGGCTTCCAACCTTAAAACGAGATCTGTGACAATCTGCTCTATT